TTCAAAAATTTTTCCGAAACACCTCTGTTTTTTAATAAGTTCAATAAACCATTGATATCATTACTTGCATATTTCTCATAATGAAGCGCATAAAGCATCACCAATCTCACAGCATCGATTTCTCGTATTTGTTGATTATTAATAAGCTCCCTTATTTTTTGTAGCTTTGATAGTAAAGAAAAACGTATAATTATTTATTGTTAAATAACCCTTACAAAAGCATAATAATTTGCAAGCACAATTAACAACTTGTTAAATTTACTACACCTGCATAGAATGGTCATTTTGACAACTAAGTTCCTGTTCTAATTCCGATACTTGCAGTAAATGATGTTTTTCCACAAGAGAAGATAGTTCGCCAACTACTGTCACATGCTTTGATACTGTACCAGATAACTTTTTAAATAACGGATAAGTTTCGACGAAATTTTTCATATCGGCTATGCTTTCTACTTTCTGATGTTTCTTAGCTTTCTTTTGAAATTCATCCATCAATTCTTTTATTGTTTGCCCAATTTCGCCAAAGTTAAGATATAAATTCTGTTCAAAAACATTTCTGTTTTAAATATAAATTATACTAATAATAATTAGAAAATTATTATTATACATATAGCGGAATCCCATATAACGCGAAATGTACCTTTAGTTGAACGTATATAAGGAATCCTATTATATGTATCTATATACACATACATAAAATCATCAATAAAACGATAATAGGCATAGTCTTACACTTGCATAAAATTCATCATGTTCTGCACTAAGAACAACTTCTTTTAATTCCTTCGAGATGCCCTTCACATGTGATAAATTAACACGATTGTTGTTAATAGTTAATAATTCATGAACCATTGCTTGATAAGTCCACTGATTTAATAAGGGTGTAACAGGATCATCTCTTCGATCAACTATTAATAAAATCGGACTAGAATCTTGTCTAAATTCGAACGAATTCGATTCTTTACTTAATACTTCGCGTATTTTTTCTGATAATCTCTTTGCCATCTCAGAACTATTTTGATAACGTATATAAGGACATCTTTTAATTGATAATAAGACTGAAATTAAGCCTAGGACGGTTCTGTGTAGATGTACTGGATTCCATAGCAAGCCTTAGAAAAACAAATTATTTTTATTTTATTTTTTTATATTTTTCGCTCTCTTTTTTGCTTTCATCATTACATTACGCCAGTTTGGTGTAATATTTATTATCAAAAACTTTATAATAGATTTCTTAATCATTTTTTCACGTAACGATTCTCAATTAATTAATTAGTTATAAAAAATTCGGTACCTTGCGAGCATGTATTAATCCCAAGTGAAAACAAATGCGGACTGATAGCTAAATAATCTGCGTAATATTCATGAACTTCTCTTACTACTTCTTGTTCATCACTTTCAGCTAGAAGTTTAATATCAGCCTTTGCGATAATATTACTGAAATCTAAATGACAATATAGTGATTATAGCCTAATAGTTGATTGATATAATTATTATTAGCATTTTACAATTTCAAAATAATTGGGAATTATGGAAATAATAACAAGTAATCTCCTCTCTTTTCACCTATCTATATTTAGTTACAGGTCATCTAAAGTAATATGATATACAGATTAGCACTTTGTACAGAAATAAGGTCGAAACACAAAACGCTATCGTTAAACAATACGAGAAATACATGCATAGAACAGTAGATATTAACAAAATTTACTATCTAAAAATCAAAAAGTACTATAATAAATCAAGAACAAATCATTTTTGCATTATGTTAATTTTAACAAGTGCTTATATAAATACTGTGGTACATAATTTTAAGTTAAATAAATAAGTTTGGTATATTTTAGTCTGATACATTTTAGAATACTGGAATACTGAATTTAAGGATGCAAAATTTTTTGTAATTACTTACAAATATAGTATGTGCCATATTTGGGACACCTTAATTCGTTGCAGAGGTATTCGATATTTTCTTTGGTTGGTCTTATGAAAACTATACATTTCAAATGCTTTAATCCTTCGTTACGAACATTTGTGTCAATCCTTTCGAATAAATAAACTTCTTTAAGAAATATTTCCGACTGACTATATAGTAAACTCACGATACTTGTCTGGAAATATACAAATTATAAACTTTCCTTTGAATTTATATATGTATTTGTTTTTACGTAACTCGGTTATCTTGGGTATCATCAATTACTTAATTACTAATAAATCATTGTAAGATTGCTTTAATCAGATTGTTAAGATTTTTTGGATTAGAATGATACCACGATATTTAAATTATTTTCTACTTGTTGTAGACATTCTGCTATATTTCACATGCTTTTCCTATATTTTGTTCTCATCCTCTGCGTCTTTATTGCAGGACGAGTCGAAATCAGATAATAGCGGCTAATGCAGGAAAACTCGCCTGTCCGACTATTTAGTAAAGCTCGGTTCCGAATTGTGACTATTTAAGCGACCAATGTATTTTATTATATTATATTTGTAATAAAGACATGAAACAATTATCAAGTGAAAATATCTCAAACCAAATTATCTGCTAGTCATTGAAATTGAGGAAATTAAGTCAAATTTATGAATATTCAAACAAGGATTTTAATCTTTAAAAAATTGGAGCTTCTATTGTTAATTTAAATTTTAACGTATTTACATGCAGTAGTAAAGTTACAATACAGAGGAAACTATATGATTAGATAAACGTTCAAGATATAGACTGCACTGTAAATAAAAATTACACAGTTCAAGCATATATTTTGGCTAATGTATACTTCAAATTTAATATGAATATGAATAAATAATGTTATTTAAGTATATTAAAGATCAAAATCCAGTTTAAATTCTACATCAAATGTTCTGTCTTTAACATATTTTTTATATGGTGGTCTGAGAATCATAGTGACCCAGGTCAGTCTACTCCTGCTTCTCATAAGATGCTGCTTTATTATGCACTTTAAGTTAGATTTTGTTTAAGCTGAATGTTGGTTGTTTATTACAGCATCCATTCATTGTAGTATATATAGAAATATGTGAATCTTCTAATATTTATATTGATATATACATTTAAGGGAATTCCATTCCAGGCAAAGTTATCATTTGATACAAATAATATATAGATAATAAAAATAATCAATATACTTAACTATATTATCTCTGCATGTTAATGTCACAATTAATGTCATAAATAAAATTTTTCTAACAAGAGTCATGAATAATCTAACATTTAAAGAAGGGGTAAGTTGCAATCGTTCCAGCATTTGTTGTAATACCGCAATGTTATTAATAAAAGCTATTTATTGCTATGTTTTTTAATTGTGATATTGTTTGCCACATATTCCACCTTGATTTAATATACATAATGAGTTATATTTTATATAAAATTAAAAAGAATGTTTTTCCTTATTACTGTTATTATATATTTATCAATATTATTCATAAACTGCAGATGTTCAACAAATTTAAAATAAATAAAAATATATAAAATCAACATATCTACAAATATACGCATATAGATCTCACCATTATCAAAGAATTTATAGACAAAAAAAGAGAAAATGCATGATGTTTTACTCAAATAGTAAAATAGGTAAATCATAACAATATTTAACATAACAGCAGTTTTATAATTAACTAACATTATCTCAATAAAAATTTAAAGTAATGATCAAAATCTTATAATCTAATCACTATAAATTTCATTTCTTAGAAGTATGTCAATGAAAATGTTCATATAGTTCGATGCTATCATAGAAGTTTAAGATTTGTTTATATGTACATAAGATTTATTTATAGGTCTAGAATTATTTATATAAGGAAAAAATTCCACGAAGGAGTAGAATATATCAATTAAAATTAATATTAATAGAAATCAAAGTACTATAAGATTCAATAAGTATAACAAAAAAAGAAAGAGAATTCAATACAATTGTCGTAACTTTAACAATTTACATTTTTCATTTTTTTTAAACAATAATACAATGTATTTTATCATTTGCATACATAAGATGAATGAATATATTATAAAAGTTCATAATTTAAGTTGTTTCATGTAATTATATTTCAGTTTGTAATTTTTAAATATTACTTATTATACAAAATCTTGGATTTACCGTTTGTTTATCCATCAAAAGAACTTTCATGCCAGGTCCACTTTCTTCTGTCATACGAGTAATATAAAATTTTAATGCAGTAATTAAATTCATTTTATCTTAATTTTGTTTATCTGTCTGTAACTAACAATTACATCTTGTCAATTGATAATAATTATGTATTTAATCTGCATATATTACAAATTATGAAAAGCATACACTTCCCAAATGTAAACACCACCTACTATCACTGGTCCAAAAATTTACTTTGAGAAGACCAAGATAAGATATATGTAGTAAAATTACGGAACTGAAACTGGAACTAAAATTACGAAATGGAAGGAACATAGGGAATTAGTACACTAACTAGGGAATAAATGTTGAATCAGTTTTATTCTCTATAATTTTCAGAAACATTTGTGTATTACTAAATATTTTAATATCTAAGAAACTGAATTTCTTGTTTGTCAATATATTATATATGTAAAAAATATTAAAATCTTTATACAATTATTCGGTTCATTTTTATTCTAGTTATCATAACTTAAACGTATTAATTGATATTTTACGCGCAATATACAAGAAAGATATAAATTATATCTTTTTAACCATCTCTTGGTATTGTTTTATCTATGGTATAAGAAATCTTAAATTTCAAAACATAAGTTACGATATTTGAAATAAATAAAGTGTTTACGCAATTAAGAAACATATACTTTGTGAGTTAATTTTTGACTTAATTCTAAACGAATAAATTTGGTCTTGGTAGAATTTTTTGTCATTCTGCAGTCTATAGATTTGAAAAAAAAAATATATATATATGCTTAAAAACAATAGCAAGGGAAGTTTACCTTCTATACAAAGTATATAAACATAGATTAAAGAAGAAACAACTCAGTTCATTTTTGCTAGTCAATTTCAGAACATAATGTATCATTATGGCTACTGTTGGTAGTTTCAAAAAAGTATAGTGATATTTGATTATCTATCTTTATTGTTACTTTGTTAGTGGTTTTGTAACGTAACGTTATACAAGAATTTTGTTAAACTGGGATTAAATGTGAATGTTTTGTACACTTTAGTTTTTTAAAAATGAATTGAGATAGTTAGTGTTTTGGAGTATTTAAAAAAAATCTAATGTCAGTTTTTATTAGTTCTTGTACTCGTGAATACACATCAGTACTGTGTAACATGTCCATAAACAGTTCGTGTTGGTGTTACTCGATGCAATTTTGATACATTATAGCAAGAATTATAATATTTTATTATAAAGTAAGTACAACTATTGTGTTTATAACATTGTGTTTATAATATTTATAATGAATCTCATAAGAATGGAGCAAATAACGTTGTTATTAACTTATGAAGTATTTAAATGTTGTTTCTAAATATTGTTTTACGAGTATTCTCTTTAAATATATGTAATAATATTTTTTGTTGTTGAATAAGGTTGTGTTCTAAAGATTATAAATTTTATTATTATTATTAAATGTGTAAAACAGATTGATATGTTACGTTAATAACATAATAAAACATATTCATTATTAATTTTTGTGATTATATTTACTATCATGTTTGTAATATATAGTGGCAATCATCAACATTCGTAAAATAAAAACTCTTTTACAAAATATAATTTCAAATGTTACAATAAAGGCTACATTTAATTTCTTATAAATTTTATAATATATATGTTCTATTTATGTGGAGAGACAGAATATATTAAAACAACTATTAATTCACATAATGCATAAAATATTTGAGAATTTTTGTTGATCTTATTATTTTGATGTTTTTCTTATGAAAGTTTAACATTATTACTAAAACATTTGTACAATTAAATATAATTCATTATTAATAAATTATATAAAACAATAATATTATCAAATGATTCAAAAATACTATTGATAAAAAGTATTACATGTGACATAGTATTAATAGCCAAATCTGTTTACCTATATTGTAATCATCACAAGGGCCAAATTAATCAAAGAAATCATATACTGCCATTGCACCATTTTGTTAAAAATGATGTTAAAAAACCATTAGCTTTCACACTGATTCTATTGATTTTATTTACAGTGCGTTTACATTTGACAGTCAGATAGAAAGTGAATAGCATGTTATTAACAAAGAAACAGGAATTATTCTTTATTTAACCTAGATAAGATGAAGTACCTAGCTTTATGTCCTTAAATATTTTTTTATTAATAACATGTTTTTAATACAACTAGTCTAGGCGATCTTATTTAGTTGTATAATGTCAAAATAATGATCGTCCGTTACCATGTATTTGCAAGATACTTTAATAATCTGTTGATCTTCTTTATCTTAAACTACATTGTAATTGTGTATTTATGTTACTTGAAACTAACATTTTAATATACTCATAAAAGTAAATAGTAAATAATCTAAGAACAATATTAACATACAAGCATGAATGTTAAGTAAGTTACACAAAAACATTTTGTGTATACAGAATGCTCATTGTGATCTAACATATAAATTGTGGTTTAAAAATGTGTTTGATATTTTTGCAGTTTTTGAGAAAAATTGCCTCAACTATAAATTTATGGTTGTTTATGTCAAGTGTACAAGATCTGTTTTAGATAGGACATTTCATGATTCACCACGATCATTCTAGAAATGTATTGCTATTTTTTTGCACTGTACATTATAAAAAGTTGGAGTTATAGCCTTCATTTTTCCGGAATGAGTGTAATGTAGGTTTGTTGAATCCAATGTTAGTGTAAATCATATGTGTGCCTTGTTTAATTTACGGTTTTAGTCATCACATTCTTATTCAGAATATAACAAAGTAGAACATACAAGAAATATCACAATGTACAAAATATTAATACTTCAATTTACTAAGACATTGATAGATATTTTTATTGATATTCGGTGTTGAAAAATCCAGAACTGTGATCCTTTTATGATAACAAGAATGAATTTGAAAGTGTCATTTGTTATCTGTACTTATCACCAGAAAAGTGACAATATTTTCATGTAGTTACGAACCACTTAATGACATCATCTTATGGCATCATGTATATAGGTACTTATGTACAACATTGATATCAAAACTAGTTCTTGTTAATTTGCTGAAATGAGAAGATATATCACACATCTATTATATTTTTGGTAGTAGAACTGTGTTGCTATTAGTTATTGAGATGTATTAAAAATATTAAAATTAATAAAATAGTTTATAATTTATTTATAATTTATAATTTATAAATAATTACATAAGTACTAAGTATTGTAATTAAAAGAAGAGTTTATTTTTATATCTAAAATATTGAAGAATTGAAAAGTATTGCATTTCAACATGAAAAATAGTTTCTAGAAAATGTTATGTTGGTATCTTTTTATAACATAAATATTATCAACAAGACTCCAAATGTTCACAAAGGACTGTATTTTAATTGTCGCATCCCCATAAATGGGGTCATCATCCCCATCAAGGGGGGATCAATCAAGCGAGTAATTTTTTCCTTTTCAAGATCTGTGTCACCTTCACATCTGTAAGACAATATTAAATTAATGATAAAAAATTTTTAATTTTTATTTTTTTGTTAACAAAGAATCGTTCAATATCTTGATAACATCTTTCTGATTAAAATAAGATCAAACCCGATATTATCATAAAATTTGGTTACATTAATTTAATTTGTCAAATTGTCAACGAAATAAGTATAAAGACCTTGAAGAGTTGTGTTTACCAATCGTACTCGCTGGCTGTTCCGTAGCAGATATATTGGATTCACAATTGGCCAGAACTATTTGCCAGCAGTTCATGATCAATTCGCGAGCTGCTACGGACTATTCATAAACAGAAATATCATTGTATTCATACTAGAGCTGACAATTCGCGAGCCAGATACGAGCAGATCTTTGGCGAGTAAATCTTCAGATGTAACGCCTAGCTGCGGTGTTCGCTGACGAGTTCGTCATACGTTATTTGTTGCTCACAAAAGTATCCTTTCACTGCCGATGAACTCAGCATTGAGTAGTCTTTACTGTATTATGTCAAGTATAGTATTGCCTCGTTAATAGACGCATTTCTTGCTTCGTTAATAGATGCAGAGTTAACCCCACCATTAGCCGAAACTGATTCACCAGAGCGAGCGTCTTTGCTATCTCTTACGCGTCATCGGCGATATCTCGGTTAACGACGGGTGATAATAAGAAAAACACAATTTCCATGTCTTTTGTTTTAAAATTATTCTATTATTTTAATCAGACTTCTGAGATTTTTCTCCAAATTTTCAATATTAGGACATCTCATATTTTATTTATTTATTTATTTATTTTTTTTATTATTGCTTAGTCCGTGCCTTTCGGCTTTGGACGAACTTTCTGTTTTACATCTCTTATGTCTATTTCTCTTCTTATATGTCTACCTCCCCTCTTTTCCACTCTATTCTATTGCACTCCCTTAATTATTCTATCTCTAAAAACTAAAACTATAAACTATAAACTACAAATTAGCAACTAATGACTAAAAACTATTGCAACTTTGGTTTTAGCCTCCTTGCTGTGCATCCTTCCTGTCGTTTGCCCTTTTCTTCTCTCCTCTCATGTAGGACATCTCATAAAAAATGCCAAGTTTCTTTTATATTTATGGCAGATCATCGATACCAGCAGTTTATATTTCCTACTGATTTTTCAATGTTCGACAATGTTTTATGAAGTTCCTTTAGATCCCTGCCACGATCGGATTAAAGATGGCACACGAGTTAGACGAGTTAGGAGAGAAGAGTATATACTAATTCGTATGAAATCATTTTTCTATTTTCTGTACAATATCTTCTCTAGACGCTTTAGGTACCAATGAACGATAGAATGATTCGAGCTAAGTTTCTCGATCAGTTCTTTGAGACTCTAACAATTAAATTTTGTTTAGCTGTTCCATGTCACTTCATCCTTATTGAATTCCATCGGTCTTCCTTCACTTTTCCAGATTTTACAATTTACTCTAACTTTCCATCCCGATTCAACGAGGTTTAGATCAGTGAGATGGAGATGGCGACCATACGAGATGTTATAAAGTTAATCTCTAAAAGAATCTTACACTAAGGAGACTTCTTTAAAGAGTACACTCCTATTGGTACCCTAGACGTATTCTATAATTTCAGTAAATAGGGTGTTAAAGCTGGTAAGTAAAATATTAATCAATCAAAATTATTCTCTTCCTCTCCCTTTTTGTTATTAATATTACCATAATCTAGATTAAAAATAACCATATATATTTCGCCAATTAATTGCTTGTTTCATCGATTGCGTTTTAGTTCCTTGCCTTAATTGGTGCTTGGCATATTTGTTGTTCATTTGTCCAATTTCGCATGATTTCACGAGCGTTTCACAGATATTGTAACTTATGTTTCTTGCAGTTTCTTTCACATGCTTTCCTTTGTAGAGGAAGAGGTTTTGCTTTTAGTTCCTATCCACCAGATCCTATAAATGTTTAGTAGAATCAATGTCTGACAATTGGAGCAGCCATAGAATCTTCAATATTGTCCTCTTATTCCTGTTACGTATAGTTCTTTTCAACACAATTTGGAACTATACCTCGGAGCACTGATAAACAGGTTGGCCCACCAATTTCTCTTCGAAGATGGAACATATGCCTTTAAAAGTTGAACTTATTTCTTTTTGAGTTCTATTCGAAGAATATCAACTCTTGTACAAAGCCTCTTTAAGTCGTCTTCGTTCGCCAAATTCTCCTTACTCGAAAATCCTAACTCGAAAATAAGACAATATCTTCCTAGCTTATCTGGATATTAATGCAGAAATTGTTATTTCAACTAAGACTGATGGCTTTTGTATTCTTAGCCAGAGTCTTAGCCCAACGATAACGACAGTTTTGTTTTGTAAGAAACCCAGTTCTCTTAGTAAACTTCTGGGGTTTGTTCTATGTGTTTCGAAGCAATGGTTTTGATATTTGGAGATTTTTACTTGTAGTCATTATAATATCGTCTGTGACTATGAAACATTGGGAATGTGGCAACGTTTAGGTTTGAATTTTATAAGGCTCTTCTTAATATTTCTTAGCAATCAGACGAAGATCCATTAACACTACTCCAACATATATCTAATGTTAAGATAGTTTCTTAAAACTTATATTCGCCTGTTCTGTGTTCGATACCAGCACAAATTATTATCGATTAAACGCTGGTTGATGAAATCGTTCCATATGCTGGATATTAATGTTACGTGGTTATCGATCGATTAGATCTGAAACCATTTTGGTAATTCGCGATAATGTTATATTTTTTAAGTATCATCGCAGTCTTTTATATTTTTTCAATTAATTCGTATAAGTATTACGTAAGTACGATGGGCCGGTAACTGTATGTGAGATGTTTTTCTTTTCCAGGTTTCAAAATGGGTATTACAATGGCTTCATGTCATTTGTTTGGGAAAATGTTGCTCCATATACACTTATATAGCTTCAGCAGGTATTTTCATGCTTTTTCTGGTACATAATTTTTTAATAACAGCATATTTGATATATCTATTTCGTTCGGATCTGGACTTGATATGTTGCATAGATCTAGACTTGAGATTAATTCGTATAATTGTTTTTAATAATTGCCTGTAAGTTCGATGCCATTGTTGTCCATCTATTTCCTGTTTTACCTTGAGGACATCTCGGTCAAAATTTCAATTGCTCTAGTTCTTGACGAAAGTATGAGCAGGAAGGCTAGTGACTTGTTGTAAATCTGATATAACATTGTTTCTTTTTTTTCGAATGTTGGACATGTTGTATATATAATCCTTTATTTTACTGAAACGTCCATGCTTTTGTCTGGACGTGCTCTATTTGCTTTACTTGATTATTTTGCAATATATCATTCCTAATCTCTCGTACTCCATTTGATTGTTTATGTGTTATGCTTAATATACATACAAGTGTATATATATATACGTACAATAATATACATACAAGTTATATGTGTATTTAATGTCTTTAATTATGGTTTTATGTTTTTCGTTCTACCATGGAGGATTCTTTTTTACTTTCAGTCGTCGTTAGGAATCCTTCTATAATTGTTTTTCTTTAAATTCGTTCAGATTGTATACCGTGTTATCCTTGATGACGACTAAGCTTTGTTTACTTTTTTTTTATGGCTTTAATTACTTCGCTTAGTACTTTTTGAATATTTAGTGTGGAGCGTGTAACGATAAATTAGTGCTAAGCTTTAGATTTTAACGGTTGATGATATTTTAATAATTAAAAGCTGGAGAACGAAGTTTCGTTTGATATTGGAACAAAAAAAAGAAGAGGATTATTCTAAAGCTGGTGGCTTAAGATATTTCATCGAATTTATTCGCGATATTCGTCCGCTTCGTTTGTCCACTTTATATTCATTCTTCCTTCACGAAGTACACGTATTAATTATAAAATATGACTGTTAGCGTGGTGAATGCGCGTGATGTAACAAACAAAAATGTTGCTATCGGTGGGAGATTTAGTGGAAAGAAATTTTTACATCTCGTTGATAACCGTGTTGTGATCTTTCGTTCTTTTATGACTGTACGAATTTTTATTTCGTTGGAAATATTTACCGTTGCCAAAAAATATAACGAAATTCTTATGAATATGTTCTTTTCTGTTCCCTTGGCATTGTATTATGTGTCTGTTATCCCTGGTCAAGTGGTATGTTAGTACTAAAAGTTGTTACATATAAGTTCTTGACCTAAAGTAAACAGGACTCAATTAAATGATAGGAATCAGTTACTACAGTGAAATACTTTCAGACCATTGCTGATAGTAAAGTTGGACAGAAAGATAAATAACATTAAACGACTAAAATAGCTTTATTATTCACAAGTGTTTTTCCTCGTCGCACAATATACGGCGAAAATTGTAGACTGAAGAGAACCGTGTAGATTGTACATATATCTTCCTATATATCTCTGCATATTACATTGAAGTTTTATTGCGAGGAATTACGTACGAAATCTACGCATACACTACTTTTGTGAAGTTACAATCAATGTTACTATACAGTGTCAGGTGTGAAGGACGATTGTTATTATGCGTTCACAAAAGTATTTACATACTCTCTTGTGCTTAGTTGTACTTACGCTTGCTCTCGTGTACGTATTAGTATTAGATCGTCCGAAAAGTATCTTTCTTTTACAGATCCGTCTTTTATAACGATGCATCTTTATACAAATAAGAAACCTAATCTGTCGAACGTTGTGATCTTTATTTTGATAGGACAAAGTGGATCATACGTAACTCGATAAAATAATATAAAACGAAAAATATTGTGCATCCATTATTTCCTTATAAACGAAAGAAGCTTTTCGCACGATTTAATATTTCGAAATAATTAATAATTCAGTGATTTTTTTCGCGATTATAAAATTTTATTAACGAGTTGCTTGTACTTCAGGGTGAGTTACATCTGATAATGATTTGTGATCAGAACGCGTAAAAAAACTGGTTCCGGATACGTCCGGATTGTAGTTTTACGCGCTAATCTAGATAGAAATAACAATCAAGATTTGCAGAGTTGTTAACCAGCCTACCTATGCACCTTAAAATTTTTCCTAGATGTCGCCATTTCAGATAAGGGATAAAAGCGCAACCTTGTGCTCACGAAGATAAGAATGAACATTAGGTCTACCAGTGTTTGCGTCGCGTCGTCTTATTCTTTTCTAATGATTTGATTTCCATCAATTTTAGGGAACGATAGGAGCATTTATAGGAGTTTCAAGGAACTAGAAAATCAGAAGCTAGTTCGCGTGAGTCGAAATCAAACCTTGTTATTCCAAGCCCATATAGCGTGTTGCGAACCTGTTAAATAAAATTGTTGTACGAAGTACACAGATGTTTTTCACCGCGTAACGACGTTTCTTCAGGACCACGTGTATTTATTCAACATTTTTTAGACGACACGTCAATAACACTAAGGCAACATCTCTGCTTTCAACATGATGTCGCTGCTCCTCGTTATGACGTACTAATTCGGAATCTGTTAATAATAATAAGAGGTTATTAATAAGTTTCACGAGAAATAAATTGGTCGTGGCGGGTCAATTATCAAAACATTTTTTCCAAGAATAACATATAACATAAATATACCGCAAACGTTTGTCCTTAGTAATGTTACATTGGTGATCACGTTGGAGGATAAACTGCGTGAAAAATTGTTGATTAATTCTTATTATCATAACTCGTTTTCGAAGAGTGAAATATAATTACATTTGACGAAACATAGCTGATCTTTTTACCTCGTTAAAATTATATTCAACGCGGGATAAAAATTTGTTGTTGGTATCCACTGCTGAGTGTAACGTAATAGTATGCAATATTTGTAAGGGACGTTTTGATGAAATTTTAGTTATGGAAGACCTTTCAACCGATAAAATTCTGTGGAAAGTATCGTCGATGCGCAGAATGCCTATTTCTTGCTGATTTCTAATCGGTAATAAATTTTGTAAAACGAATATACTCGATAAATTAGGTATTGCAAGAACGCATTAATATTACGATCAAAGTATATTTTTAATGATATCCAAAGAAGAAAGCAAATTGGAAAAATAGAGTTGTTTATGAATTTCGAAAATACAGTTTTTACATTTTCTCAATTGTCACACTTTGTATATTTAAAATCTTGTGTTTTTTCCTTTATTCTGTATTTACTATATGTTTTTCTAGATTGAACTTTTGACACAAAGAAGTTAGGTTAATAATCGTGCAATAATTCTCATTGTATACAATTTTATATTGTTTAGTTATTTTTCTATAAAATTGAAATATTATTTTTAGGTACCAACGTTACTATGGGTCGTTACACAGGAAAGAAATGTCGTTTATTAACGATGTTATGGCTCACCGGTCTATTTTTCCTAGTCGAAATAGTTGTGGGCTACCTAACAAACTGTATGGCTTTGATAGCTGACAGTTTTCATATGTTGTCTGATGTAGCAGCTTTGGTCGTTGCATTTCTTTCCGTCAAGGTAGGTAGAACAAGATAAATATCAAGTAATTGTATCGACATAAATAAATATCAAATAATTGTTCAGCAAGAATTTATTTGGCATCATAATTCGCTAATTTGTAATTAACATTATAAAGCCCATCGCAGTTATAAATTTTATATCTTGTGTTTCCTCAAATCCTTTCCTTTGATTATTTTTCTGAATATATTTTGAGAACATTATTTTAGAAATTCCGTCCTGTTTACAGATGTCACCAAAGAAATGGTCCAAAAACACATTTGGTTGGGCCAGAGCTGAAGTTTTAGGAGCTTTAGTCAACGCCGTTTTTTTAGTCGCATTGTGTTTCAGTATTACCGTGGAGGCGTGTAAAAGATTTATCGAAGTAGAAGAAATACATGAAGCGAAATTGCTTGTAGGGGTTGGAGCACTTGGATTATTAGTGAATATTATTGGATTATGTCTCTTTCATGGTAAATGTTATTAAGAAATTAATATTTGTTCTTACATGTAGTTATATAATTCTGGTTGCAGAACATAGGAGTTCTCATGCACATTCGCATGGCATATCTCGAAGTCACAACCGATTGAGTACTCTAGTAGGAACGGATGACAATGAAAATGATGATAGTTATAGGCCATCGACGCCACAAGTCAAAAGGACACACGGCCATGTACACGATGCGAGTCAAATGAATATGCGCGGTGTGTTTCTTCATGTACTCTCGGATGCACTAGGATCTGTGATTGTGATAGTCTCTGCTTTAATTGTTTGGCTGACAGAATGGAAATATAGGTAAATATTGCATAAATTACCTAACATATCCTATAATATAAATCGTATAACGATCGTTTAACGATCTAATATCTTCGGTAGTACTCTTAATGTTTGTTTCTTTTTACAGATTTTACATTGATCCAGCTCTCTCGCTCTTAATAGTTATTCTTATTTTACAATCGGTATGGCCATTACTCCAAGAATCTGCACTGATTTTATTGCAGACTGTACCGACACATATTCAGGTAATTTGAATCATTCTAGATTCTATAATTTCTAGATAATATACGAGAAGTAATAAGAATAGTATCAGTAGTAATATCCGTTACCGAGATTTTCTATTAACATGTACAAATTTCTATAAACAGATCTATATCAAATAAAAAGGTTTTTATTATTCTTATTATCGAATTTTTTAGCTAATTGATCGTTGATTAATTTTCATGGTGTAATTTTAATTTTCATACTGTTTAGCCGTAACAAATCTAAACAGAATATGTTATTTTAGGTGGATGCCATTCAGCAACGTTTACTAGAAAACGTAGACGGTGTTTTGGCTGTACATGAATTCCATGTGTGGCAGTTAGCTGGTGATCGTATTATCGCTTCAGCGCATATAAAATGCAGAAATTTGTCAGAATATATGAAAATAGCTGAGCAAGTGAAAGAATTTTTTCATAACGAGGGCATACATTCTACGACAATTCAACCTGAATTTATTGATGTAAGTAATTTGTATCGTACATATAAGTATTACGTATTAGTGATTAATACAGCAAGTGATGTATTTAATTTGACGTTCTTTATACTATTGTATCAACATGAGTGTATATTCTACATAAAAATTGGATAAATGTAGGATTTTAGTGGTAACAAAATAACGAAACTATAAAAGATATAAAATATATTGATAATTGATTGAGGAACTATTATTGATATTCTAGTACCACTCTAACAGCGAGGTCAAGGAAACACCGACCGAAGATTGTGTACTAGATTGTCCAAAGACTGACAAGCCTTGTAATCATGCAACATGCTGTGGTCCTTCTAAACAGGTATGTGCTTTCTGTTTTTCGATGTACCTTTGGTTGATTTAAAATCTATCCCTTCGCTTCTGCAGTCTAATTGGAAGAGAGATACAAATTCCCGCTCTGCCTGCCCTAAATCAAAATGTCTTGGACAATGCGTAGAAGCTATTAGATCAGATTCAAATACAGTTATAGGTAACTGTTATTTGTTGTTTATGTTTGATTATTCCAGCGTTATGCAATTAATATCATACAGCCAAATGGTAATTGTTTATTCGAGATACTGGAACCTTTTTGTTTCTTATTGGACTGGAACAAAGTCATTCTTGAAAGTGTAATATTATGTAACGTTAAGTGCAAGAATATCTATAAATATTGAGAAACAAGCTTTTAATATAAGCACTAATAAGTTTGATAGAAAAGTTTTAATTATTTATATCTTCTTCTTTTTTGCTTCTACTTGATCATCCAAAAACTTACCGTCACCTTCTAAAATAATTATGCATTCAGAAAAATATCAATAGGCTTAATATAATTTCCCCTTTTTATAAAATGAAACATGATATACGACTTATTTATTTCGTATATGTATATACATATGGTATAGCATTAGATGGAGTGGGTTTCCAAACTCCCAGATACTTACTATGTTTTGATATATTTTGAATCGAATGTTATAATCTTTAAATTAAAGATTATAGGTATACTTTCTTGTAATAAATGTGGATATAATCTATGTTTCTTACAGGGTCGTGAAACTCCATCACCTGGAGAAACACCATACATGTGCAGACAACGAAACAGTCTTGCACGTTCCACTGGTTCAATAGGAGGAACCGAACAGCAGGAAGTAAATGAGATGGAACGCGGACATTTGTTATCACTGCCCGCTTCACATCACTCCGTCCAACTTCCACATTCACATGTTAATACACCGGTTGTCTAAGTTATCGTCATATTCTCGAATATCTACCTCTGTAACACAATCTGCGGCGCGTTACAATGTTATTATAAAAATTCAATAAAGTAATATACATACTATGTTTTATGGCTATTAAAGTCAACAGTAAATTTTCATTGCTTTTTATTATCTATGTATGTAACTATTATCTTAAGTTTTATAAAGTTTGATATAATAAGTTTGATGTGTGGTATTTGTACAATTACTGATGGATTAGAAACAAAAATAAATAATGTTGGCCGTAATTCTACGAGCCTGTTCTAGTCACCATATAAAATTCTACTAGATTAACGAAAGATAAATAAATTATTCGAAGACTATTTAATTAAAGCGTTTTTACACTCTAAGGTGCAGACCATTACTGCTGACTTCACACCAGGTTCGTCTGTATACTCAAGCATCATCGGCGTAATGACAACTTTGGATCCGTGGTGTGAGCGACGAGATTTATAGAATGATTCATATACCCTTGATTTTTACAAAAAGTCATTTCTTCATCAAAATGTATGTGCCTTTTATCAATTAGAGACAAAACATTAAAAATTTCTCATTGTTATCTTGTCTAAATTTTCAGAGTTCGTTGTCATTTACTAGAGACATTTCAATTTCGCGCCAATTACTTTGCAAGAAACGCGCCACGCCGCCTCAGCCAATCAGAAAGCAGCTAGGCAACTTTAGGCGGGATGACAAATTACTGTAGTGTCGAAAAGCGTGATGTCAAGACGTATTACCTGTTTGAACAGCAAGATTTCAACTACAAAGTGCTCTTTTTTTTTACGTTTATTTAGTCATTTACGTTTATTTAATTTACGTTTATTTATTTATTTAAATTACGTAATTTACGTTTATTTAATCATCTGTTAGACGAATTTATAACGAAATTAAACAGTGTCTCGAACTTTTCGTAATCGGTTTTCGTTAGCCTCTTATTTCACTGTTAGACCATCACCAATACCTTGTATTGCAATATTTTGAGACAAAATTTGAGTTTGATTGTTTCTTCATTGTAATATAATCGGTTTTAGGTTTATTAATGTTTATTTTGAATCTTTGGTTTTCTCTGCAGATTATTGATTGATTGCGGATATTACTTCAAACAATGGAGATATATGGACGTTATGGCAATTAATAATAGTCTAGTGGAAAGTTTTTCATGCAGATTTGATGATGTCTGATTTTTTATAATTGAAGCAGATGTACATACGTAAGTAAAATTGCTATTTCGTCTTTTCTATTATTTACTTAATGTGCCATGGATAATAAGCATTCAATACATAATTGACATACACATATTATTTAATAGTAAATCCTCCTTTCATGATCTAGATTCCTCTAGGATTAGCTGTTTCAGAATTCGTCACTATCTGACTCTCGACATATTGTTTTCTCTTCAAGCGTGTATCTAGCCACTCTTTTAATCGTGTTACCCACTAAATATTCCTTTCTAAATTTCGTTCACTCTGGACTACGATAGTATTAGGTTAGTATTACCCAATATGGTGGAGATCGTATCGAATTAAATCAGTTTTGCGATATGTGTGAGTGGAAAGAAAGGTAACGCAGTCGTTGAAGAGAATTCGAGTAATCAGAGAATATAGATATCATTCTTGGTCTATCGTAATACCGAGCTTATCGGTATAGCTAGCTGCAGTACTTTCTAGGTCCGTACTTTCCGTGTAAGAGCATTTTGCGATAGGACAAAGTACTCCTAGCAAAGATCAATGACTAGAACTTTTGGAAATAGAGATCGATAGAAGTTTTCTACCGATAAGAGCAACGTCTACCACCATAAACCATAGACGAGATGTCTGTGCACAAAGGATGATATCTCTAAAGCGTATTTATTAGCGACGACGTATTTTTAAAGATAACCAGAACAAGTTAGTCCGATGCTATTCAGGACAATTTATGACAAGTAGTTGGACTGCGTGTAACCAATGTAAGTACGAGTAAGGATGTGTAGATGCTCAAAAATAGCTATTGTAAAAACTAAACTTTGCGTCTTTGCTGTCTTGCTGCCTATATAACTTAAAACTGTAGCGGGGTTTTTAACAAACACAGTTTAAATTCGAAAAGGCTAACTCGGATAAAGTTTACGGAGATATGGATGATTCGATGGTTAAAAGTTTAGGAAAGTATCGGTGGCTTAAACAGAAATATTGTTTGGTCAACCGCTGAAGTTTTCTGAAAAAGGTGGAACTACGTTCGTTAGGATTGCGAGAAACAGCACGGACTTTATCTGGAACTTGGAAGTTGCATATATGTTAGAATGATTCAGGCAAGCAATATTTTGTACTCTAACATGAAAAATATTTAATATATTTATACGTTATATGGTTATTTTTAAAACTTAAAAATTTGCCAGCCGTCGAGTAATTAAAGGAAACGAAGTAGGGAAGACTGAACAAAATGTAGTTGGATTCTTGATGAAGGATGGGTAACTTTTAATCAGAACGAAGCTGGATTAAGCAGATAACTCGCTTAGCTGATCTATTAGAGGACAAAGTGATTAAGCGGAGTTTTACGATCTGAGCGAAGTTGAGATCGTGAAAAAAGTATCATTCGTCGCTTGGCACATAAAGTGCAGAAGCGTAAAATTTGCTTAGTTATCTGGCCAGCCATAAAGTTGTAAAGTTGCGGTCTATAGCGACCTTTATCTTGGTTCGGCCTGATTCGCCGTCATTCCAGCCTCGATAAAAAAGACTGACGGCCGAATGCAACTTTCACCCCTTTATCCTGGCTCGTGGTTCACCCGGATGATCCAGTCGTTTCTGCTCGACTTCTAGTTAGCGAGGAAAGTTTACGCTGTTGGTCGGGAGTTTGCATGGAAATTACATTTTGCTTGCTGAGAATCGAGCTAAATGAAATTTGATCGCGAACAGGATAGCCAACGGGGTTAACTACGCGTCCTGCGTGTTGAATATGGAAACGACGACATGATTTATACGGAAGATACGTCGACGTTACTTTTCCAGTCTCTTCGACTGTTCTTTCGAGGTAATCGAGTACATAACTAGATCTTGATAACCGTTGAACGAACAATATTGTAAAGAAGGAAGTTCAACAGCGATCACTGTATATGTAGAAATGCACTGCGACTGTCTTGGGCGAGACAACTTGATGTCCGATATATAGACGGTGACGGCAGTTCGTTTATTTTGGCTCGGTATGGAATTCGTGAAATATATAGAACGTATTTGCATTGTAAGAGCGCGTTATTTTTGTTCGCTGACCGATGTGAAATGAGTGTATGATAGGAAAAGGTATAGAGAGACGATGTCAAACTACGGTGGCTCGCAAAAGTATTTCATACTTATAGAAACTTTTTGTAGATATATTAATTATATACACTGCATATATTAATTATATACATTTTGAAACAGCAGCGTAACGAGGCTCCACCACTATGATTAAATTGGTAAAATTCGAAACGAGTCTGAAAATTTATATACGCAAAAGTATTCGAACATTCATAGAAATCTCTCACGAATGTATTAAGTGTGTCTTTGGATCGAATTTCTTTTTAGTTATGTTATATCAAAGTACACCGCTTTAACCATTAAATAACATAAAAATCAGAAAATCAAGAAAACCGTATATATTTTCCCCTGTGATATTCAAACGTATATTTTCGGTAAGTTTCATTGAAATTTCAAACAGTATCATGCGACACGTATAATGCATTCATAAAAATATTTATGGTAAGTGTTCAAATACTTCCGTGTGTCGCAGTAATTCCACGCAGCTTTAATATTTAGTCTGCAATATCATTGCACTCGTCACTCGATTCATTTATGTAATGACCCCCAATCAAGGGTCAATCGATTGATTTATATAAGGTTTGGTTTACTAATGACTAGTGGCAACCTGGTGGATACCTCGTATCTCTGTTCAACTAGAGATTTGGTTTACGCAAGGGATAAGTCGTGGTAGGGGAAAGAGCTGTTGGTAGGAGCTCGCCGTAAAATCAGAGGGGATGGGTTAAAGCCAGGGAAGGGTATCTTGCGGAAATTCGATGCTAATGAAGGAAATTGCGTAGATGCCAAACCAGTATCTCTCGTCCTTCTCGTCGTCTAGCACCCTCCTACAAAGTGGTAGTAACGAATTTCTGTCCTGTCTCATGCCTACGACTCGTGTCTTCGAGCTCGCTAATTTTCTATTTACTAACTTGCTATGTACTAAATGTTATTTCCCCTCATATAATTTCCCAGACTTGTTCGTATATTTTCTTTGGGACGGTATAACGTCTATGTAACAACGTAACGTCTAAATAACTGTTAGTATAACGCTTGGTAGTTGTGACAAAATTTGCTACAAACCAGGTGAATTATTATTAACATAGTAGACGCTACGAAGCTTTCGCGTTTATATTATACTTTGCAGCTAGATTTATATTTCTTTTTTAAAATATATTCCATGATAAACTACTGGTAGATTGGAGGGAAGAAAAGGCCTGAAAGTATTATCGATTATTTATGGTGTACTATACACAGCAATGTTTTATGGGATAATCGAAGAACATCGGGAAAAATTCAGGATAGGAGGATTATCACCCAATAGAATTGAGAGAGGAGGGCTTGCTTCGGTCCCTTTCATGTTATCTCTATCTCGTCAGAGATGTCTCTCTTATTTAAATGAGTTGCCAATGCGAGCAGGAATAGGGCGGTACGTCTTGCAAGGGCTGTGGCTTTGTCATGTCGATTCTCTAGGGTAGAACAGAAGGAGGGAAAACGGTCGGGAACATCTTTCTAAGAACGTAATCGACGAATTATTTACGTTTCCCAACCGTTTTTACTGCTTCGATGCCCATGTACGATGCTTTTGCTTTATAGATGTCGATGAAAATTTTAACCCTTGTCTCTTATATCTCATCTCTCCTCCAACATTTTATGTCCCAATCTGGCTTTAGTTTCAATCCAGAAACAACTTTTAATGTTCCACGGTAACGTGATTTCCTTTAATGACAGAGCTTTTACCTCTTTCAAGTCTGACCTTCTTTCGCCTCGCGTTGAAAATATATTTTTCGTCCACTGTGTCGTCCATATTAATAATAAAAACACCGTTTCCCTAACGTTTTTACGAAGAAAACACAATATATTAAAACTTTCTTATTTTTATTTATCTTTTATCGTCACATCCCTTGGTAAGGTATCAGTGACTGCAGTTACATGTATCCTGCAAATATATATAAATGTTAACGTTTACACGCTTAGTTTGGTACAGTTGTCTCAGTTAGTTAGTTAGCGTTATTATTTAACAAGTAATTAGCTATCCAGCTAATTGCCACGGTCTGTACGATTCCACACACGATGCAAAAGTT